GGACGGGGATTCGAACCCGCAACCCTCAGATTGCGAGTCGAGCGCCCTAACCACCTGGCCATGCCGGGCCGACACTAATAGAATTTTGGTTTTACATCTGTGTAATATTATCTAACAATACTGAAGATCTACCTCTCGTTGTTGCATTTGAATCTGCTAGTGCAGTGTTTTCTAAACTGAGGGGTGCACCCCCCTGGGGGGCCCGTAGTGGTGGCTGGGGGGACGGTCTTTTGGCGGTAGAGCGTCCAAAAATAACGCTCTAAAAATGCTCTAATGTATATACAATAGGTCAATAAATTGTTAATTTACATACTGTACCACTTAATCTAGACTCACCTTGCGTTTTTTTTGTTTTGTTTACTTCATATAAAATTCACGTAACCATCGATTTCACTACTCTAGCCACCTCTTACGTTATTATAACCTTTTACCTTAAATCAGTAAAAAGTAACACAACTTTGCTGTAGACTGACCTTACACTACTGTATCCTTGTCTCACTTTATAGACATACATGATAATAATGTAGCCATGCTTTGTATGTTTCTAACCTTACAACACTTCATATATATAAATATATACATCATAATAATGTGGACATACTGTAGTAGGCTAGATTTTTCTTAATTTCAACATTTGTAATATTGTTAGCTAGATGGAGCTAGTCATACTAAAGTTATTTGATCCGTCTGGATTGCTTAAGAACGTCAGTTGTTTCACTCTCATCTAATTCGTTCTGAACGCCGAATTATTTGTGTCTGGATACCTCACCATATAGGTATTCTTCGTAGTTAAATCGTTGATATGCTGCTAAGGTAGCTATCATCTAATTTTCTCTCTATTGAATTTCCCATAATTTTTTTCTTTTGCCATTCTCTGTTGAATAATCAATTGAATTTTTCTTGGGTTCAGTCTTGGGCAGCCCCCTCACTTGGACACATTATTTACTCTATTCTCTCTGTTCTGTTGATTACGTTTTTGTGGCAAAAGTGGCACTTAATTTAGACTAATAAGTATTACTAGTCATAGATATTTGATCTGTGCACAAGTATTACTACATACTAAATAAAGGTGTTGAGAGGAGGTAAACATTCTCCTCTCTCTCGTCCCTTAACTATGCAACTTACAAGAAAAAAATACCTGAAAAGCAATATAATATTAAACCACGGAAGCAACTGGAAAAAATGAGAGAAAACAGATAAATAAATAAGATTAGACTCGCGCCGTGTGATAGAACAACAACAAAAACAAACAAACTTGATTTACTTTATCAGACTCCTTACTGTCTAGAAAACTAGAAGACACGATGTTATTTTGTCTCGACTGAACTTGCGAATTTGCATACTTAAACATAAGATCGGAAAAACGCACTTTTAGTATTGTCCTGATTGTGACAATACGTTGGAAACCTATTTTCCATTTTTTTGTCGTCCTACCTATGATACTGCTTTTCAGCATCAGCTACAGAGCAATATAAACTGGAACTGTTAACTATATTTTGTGTAGTTAACTATTCCAATCTATTGTATTGTTAGACAACAGTTATAGATTGTTGTGTTCTTTGTCTTCTGTAATTAACAGTTCCATTCTCAGCAGTTCTAGTGTGTTGAGACTGGAACTAATGGTAACAGAACACAACAATCTATAACTGTTGTCTAACAATACAATAGATTGGAATAGTTAACTACACAAAATAACACACTAAAACTGCTGAGAATGGAACTGTTAATTACAGAACACAAGAGACTGGAACTAATGGCAACAGAACACAACAGAATGAAACAGTTTAGTACAGCACGCCTCAAACTGCAACTGTTGGTTACAAAGACACTGGAATAGTTGACTACAGAACACAACAAACTAGATCTTCTTACTACATAAAAGAATAAACTAAAACGGTTAAATAGAAAACACAAAAATCTGGAACAGTTGATTACAAAACACAACAGACTGGAACTGTTGGTTACAGAAAGACTGGAATAGTTGACCACAGAACACGACAGACTAGTACTGTTGACTATAGAGCATAAAAAATTAAAACTGATGGCTTTACAACACAACAAACTAGAATTACTGGTTAAAATACAGAATTCACTACATCTGTTAACTAGAGAACACAACAATCTGAAATCGTTGAATATACAACACAACAGACTGCAACTGTTTCCTACAGAGTACAGCAAACTGCAACTGTTTACTCAAGAACACAACAGGTTGAAACTATTAGCTATATAGTACAACAATCTTGAAGTGTTAATTACAGAAGACATCAGATTGGAACTGGTGACTACAAAATACAACAAACAGGAACTCTTAGTTACAGAACACAAAAAACTGGAACACAACAATCCAAACTTTTTACTAGAGGACACAATAATATGGAATTGTTTACTATAGCATACAACAATTTGAAACTGCTAACTACAGATTATAAAAACTGGTTCTGGTAACTAAAAAATACAACAGACTGTAATTGTTGAGTATAAAACACACAGCAGATTGAAATAGGTGAGAACAGTATACAAAAGTTTGGAACGTTTGGTTTCAAAATACAACAGACT